TTTGATCTACTTTTTATTGGCCCTAATGACCTTTTGTGTTGATTGGCCGTTCAGAATCCAATAATCATAATAATAGCTATTCCGTTATTATCCTGAAAAACTGCTGATCACTAAACCAATTGATATCTATATTTTGTCATATAAAAATGTTGGTTACAGGATTTTGATAGACTATTCAGATATTACGCCTCGTCGATGAACAAATCACACACGCCAGGATTGGTCGAGCCATAGGACTGGACAGAGTCTGTATGCGATATTCGTCAGGGGGAAAATGTCAGTCAATGAACAAATCACACACGCCAGGATTGGCCGAGCCATAGGACTGGACAGAGTCTGTATGTGATATGTCAGTCAATGAACAAATCACACACGCCAGGATTGGCTGAGCCATAGGACTGGACAGAGTCTGTATGTGATATTCGTAAGGGGAAAAATGTCAGTCAATGAACAAATCACACACGCCAGGATTGGCCGAGCCATACGACTGGACAGAGTCTGTATGCGATATTCGTAGATTGCCCGAGCCATAGGACTGGACAGAGTCTATGCGATATTCGTAAGGGGGAAATGTCTAAGTTCACGGTGTCATTTACTACAACTTGACATGTATCTGAAGAATCATCAAACATATAATGTTTCATTCGAGACATGAAAATGTTAAAACTGAGATTAAATATGTGGGTTTTTGTGTCTACACTGGCTATAAGAACATGAATTTTGGTAAACTTTCGACCCATCAATGTCCAGGGCCCGTATTCATGAAACCATTCTCATGTTCAAGTATGCATTTTGTGCTCAAGCCAAATTTCTTATTCCCATTATAAATTAATAAATAAAATCTTAATTTTTTCAATGATTTGAAAAATATGAGACTTAAAGCCTAAAACTGTTTTCAATGCTTACATTTGACTTTTGACATCATTTAAACGACTTGCAAGAAAGTTAATTTCACCACAGAATTCATGCTTAAGCATGAGAACGGCTTCATGAATACGAGCCCTGTTCACGCCAAATCAAATCATTATAGCCGGTATCAACACAAAGAAAATCAATCTTAATTTCATATTAGGAGAAAAACCTTGAAGCTGTTATTACAGATAAGCAAGTATTTGGCAAAAATCCTGAATATATTTCAATGATTTTAACATCATTAATATCACAAAAAAATCTGAAAGTATGCAAACATACTAAAAATTCACACAGTTTCTGTCCAATCTCCAATATCTGACAACAGTTAAACTTTGTAGCTTAAGTTGACAACAACTTACTTGTACAATGCAGCTTACATACTGATTCCATTATTAACTCTACAACATGTCAACAATATATCAATGTTCATGTCAGCATCTCAACATGAATAAACAGCATACAAATTGATATTAACTCATTCTACCCTGAAGACACATTTGAACTCTTCCAGTTCAAAGGATGGAATAGTTCATTATGAAATTTTTGGTGGTGAATGAGTTGAAAATTTCCTATCGATTACAATTCATGTTATGATTTAAACAGGGAGCATCCAATCATTTGGATTCTCCATCATATTGATTTGGTAGTTATACATCCTTCAATCTGTCAGTTACTAAAGCGTTTTGGATTGGGCAATATATTCATCACATTATTACAAAACCATTCATGTCAATACATTGTATAGGGTAAAATGATGGCCATTCCCATAGTGTATAACATGAAATGTTTGTGTGTATTTTATTTCCTGGTTTGGAGTTTTCAAATTTTTTTGTGGGTACAAACTTTCGTGGTAAGCCCATTCAACGAAATGTATTAATTTTCGTGGTTAGCCACTTAGACGAAATATATATTAACTTTCGTGGTCAGTTCACAACACAAGGGAGTTAACTCGTTTTACATTCAGTCCAGCGCAAACAACGAAAGTTTATACACAACGAACGTGTCATGTTCTACAGTATCCTACTCCCTATCAACCCAAGACCTCCACATTTGGTCGCAAGAGCGATATGAAATATGGGTCAAAGGCTAATACAGGAAAGGATATGGGTCATCTCATCACTTTTAATCATATACTACATAGTGAAAATATTTTAGTACATCATCAATTTTTTGGGGTGAATAACAGCAGTTGGCTGTAACAGAGGCGTGATATTTTTGAAATGTTGAACTGTAAGTAAAACAGATGAGGCTCATACTGGGCAGATATGGGTCCATATCGATGTGGTAAGGTAAAGTAATTACTGAAGACTTTGGTTTACAGAATATAGTCTGCATCAGGACTGTCACTAATAAGTACATTAGTTTCTGACTACAAGTGGTAGCAATGTCAGATTTCAAAAATCATGCTGGCTTGAAGGTCTACTGTTAACAGCAGGATAATCCTCAAACAAATCAAGTTTGGTTGAACATCATCCCTGAAACCATTTAGCATTAACAACACCATCAAAAGAAATTAAAACAAGAGTACCGCGGGGCAGAACAAAATACGCCCGTCCAATGCCATATAGTGTTATATACTTTCTTACATTGAAATAAGATCTGCATCATTCAAAGAGTGGTTAGCTGATATACTATAAAAAATGTATGAGAAAATCTTCGGAAAAAAAATCAAATACTGAAATAAACAAAGGGCAATAACTTTTGCAAAAATCGTCAAATGAAAATTCCTTTGAAGGAGACATAATTTCATATCATGATTATAAAGTATACTAAGTTTCAAAGAGATCTGTTGAAAAATGTAGGAGGAGATTTCCAGACAAAAATAAAATACTGAAATGAACAAAGGGCAATAACTTTTGGAAAAAATGTTGAATCAAAATTCTTTTAAGGAAGACACAACTTCATATCATTAATTTGACATAGAATGTTAATTTGGATATTGACTAAAAAATGCTGAAAATTGCCTACTGCTCTCAAATTCCAGGATTTTCTCTGCTATTAGGGGGAGGGGGTATTCTTTCCATAATTTACCCTGATTTCCACTGTCGGACCCATCCGTGTCTCCACTTCAACAAAATTTCATTCCATTGGCCAAGGGGTGCTGGATATTCTAATTTAATCAAAAGCTCTTCAACTGTTCTAGTCTAGTGGCCTTTTAAAGCAGAACGTTGAGATTGTACATCACAACACGGTTCTAGTTTTAAGCGTATGGTATTATAAGACACTTTCATGCCCAGGGGTGTAGGACAGTGACCTTCTTCTTGCACTCTGCACTACGCCATCCCAGGTCTCCAGTAAAATAGTACAGAAGATATGCCAGACAACTTTTTCAAAAATCAATGTCAAAGGTCAAGTCATTGGTCACAGTGACCTAATTCTTGCACTCTGCACTATGCCATCCCAAGATGTTCTTGTACACCATATCTGGTTACTCCAGGTGAAATAGTATAGAAAATATGTCCCGGACAAACTTATTGGACGGAACGATGGATGGAACCTAGTGCAAACCTTTTGGAACCGGTGGGGGACTAATAAAAAGATGACATTTGAAGGGTGAAGATACCGCTCGGCATATACAGACTCTACCAGTGAAGGCAACTATTTCTTAGTATAAAGTATATAGCCTGTTTGCTTGGGCCAAATTCCAACCCAACAATATTTAGCCAGCAGTCCAGGTAGTTGAATTAACTAGCCTGGACTGTATTTTCCTTATTCAAAAATAACACCTAATTTGAAAAACTGAAAGTTTAGTAAGACAGTTTTATGTCAAAAATGATATGATGAGTGATACACATGTAAGGCTTTTAAAGCTATATTTCTATCTCAACATTTGAGTCAACATCACATAAGATTCAAAAACCAAATCTATCTCAATTGCCTGATCACATATTAATGTAAAAGTGAAAATCCTGCTGATATATCTTTTATAGTGTGTTATATTCCAGTGTTTTTGTACCAATTTAGTAAACAAAATCAGCAAACTGCATGAAACGTCCCACTTCCACAGTAGTTTTACATCAGAAGTTCTAGTCTTGCTATCATAAAACTTTGTAACATAGGGTACAATCGTGTATCCGGTTGAAACGGTTTAACCGGTTGAACCTGTGAGGAAACAACAGGTACAGATCTGAACCGAGGCTGACCTCAGGAAAATTTGGCATGTGTAGATTGAGGGGTCTAGACGTACCTGACCGAAACTAAAATGCTGACTATATTGTTAGTTTGCGCGTAAAAGAAGGACATACTATCCTTGAAACATTGTTCTTATTCTCCGAAACTGTGCAATTTTTGCTCTGCTTAAAGAATGGTCCAAGTGGTTTTTTTTTATCGTGGAATATTTCTGCGTCACACGTACCGTTTTAACCGGGATACACAAATGTAGCCTAGGAGTCCCAGAATCGTAAAACTTTGTAAATATGGGAAAGTTTCTGAACATTTTCTCAAAGTTAGTGTGTTTAGGTGTGATGTTTAGGTGAGATGTTTTTATGGTTAGTAAGTCATATCTTGTTTAACGTCTTATTAACAGCTAAGTCATTCAAGGACATGCCTCTATGTGTGTTTTGTATGCGTACTTGCTTGCGTGTGTGCCGGGGACAGGTATGTTGGCATATTTGCCTCCTTGTGATAGCATGGATCTGATGCCAACTTTATAGTGCTGTCACACCGATGTTTTTATGACTAGTACAGTACTCGGTCACCTTCATCAGACACATGATTGTCTCAGATGACCTTGACAGATAACACATCCTATGAATCATAGAAATATCACACAGAAACATTTACTGGTTTTGCTATATGAACTACTACAGAGTATGGTAAAGCTTTATAACTTAAACATTCACACATTTCATATTTCATCTAAAGCGTTCTGTAGTGAAGATTTTCTGCAATTCATCCACTTTTACATGTCAAGTGGTGTCATAGCATAAATTCGCAAATATTTTACTATTTTAATGATTGTTTACCGAAATGATCTGATTTTGAGAACTGAAAACGCACCTATTGTAAATAGGTTTTGTGATTCCGTCTGTATTAATAAATATTCTTACAGTGTGTTCAGTAAAACAAATTGCAATATTAAAAGTATGTATTGAGTAATTCATAACACATCTATTTTAATTTCATCAACAAATAATTTCTATCAATATGTAAATACAACATACAAATACATCAGACAAGGAATCAATGGATGTGGTATTAACGAAAGCAACGGAAAATAAAAATAATCAAAATCCACACAACTGTCTCCCTCTTTCTCCTCCTCTAGTATAATATTATGAAAAAGATATATACAGCAACACATGTCAAGTTCTTTTTATAAACATTTTGTGTACAAAAGATGTGAAAATGACTTCAAGATGAGCAACGTTATTTTTGTGTCATATTTGAATTGTAATACAATTGAGCCTTAAATTAAGATAGCTGAAAATTCATTTTTTAAACTGCTTATTTTTTTATTGAATTCATTTCAAGTCTGAAATAAATTTATTACCTTATTTTCATTTCAATCTTATTGGATTGCTTAAGATCCCACAATTGCCTTAAGAGCATGAAATAATTTTAATTTGAGTAGAAATCTAAGTTAAAGTTATTTTTCTTTTAATTTATCAAAATTACTTAGCATGGAATTTATTAAATTTTTCACGAAAGTGAACAGAAATTGTATCAATATGGTGTTAATCAAAGTATAATGGTAAAATCTGAATTTTTAAACAAATTTGTGTCCGAGTGCTGGTACTGCAGTTCGAAAAACCCACTAAGGACTTATTAGCAGGCTTATGTTGACAACTTAAGATTTTCTGACAGAGCACCCCCTTCCCTTTAATTTCACCACACATGATTCAGTAAAAAGAACATCCTTAGAGTGACAATTCATGTAGCATGTCATAATGGACATTGTCAGAGTGAGAAATAATAAAACATTCACCACTGACCCAGTGTCTGTATTCTATAATTTTACAATTAAAACCACTCCAAGCATCTGTATTTTATACTAGCCTTTCAAAATTTATCCTAGCCATGGATTAAGGGCGGTAAATTTGCACACTGGTTTGTTTAGAAACCCAATATCTGGCCTTAACCTTTTCACCACTGTAGACCATAATGGACTCATCCATATCAATGCATGGTAGAGTCTACTAAAGTTACATAGAGTGAAAGGGTTAAGAGATTCCAATGTACTGTATTGTACAGAAAATTAAGTTTTATATTCAGAGAAACTCTGTAATGATGGCGCTATAAATGATTCTGTAGGAAACTCAGGATCATTGTTTTGTAGTGTTCAGCAGCCTCGTGGTTACGGATTCCATGTCGCTCATTTGGGTACACCTGTAAACAAAATAACAATACAGTAAAACTCCAATTCATTGTATGGAAGCAGAGTCTGTTTAACCTATATTTAACCCTTTCACCCCAGTGCAACTTTAGTAGATTCTACCATGCATTGATATCGATGAGTCCATTATGGTCTACAGTGGTGAAAGTGTTAATAGAGAAAACTTTAATGATTTCATAAATAAGGAAGTGTTATTTTTCAGGTTTACATTCAGAATACATGGAGACATGTTGTGTTCTTTGATGAATGTTTGGTGTCATGTTGCAGATGTGGAGTCAAAGTGATTGGATTACCACAACAAGAGGCCCAAGGGCCTTAGCGGTCACCTGAGTTATATCATAGGTACTGGTAGCTTTATTTTGTTGTTTAGATGTGATGTGGAAATCAGCATGTTAACTAAGTGAAATACAATACCTGTCATGTCATCAATGGATAAGAATTTGAAAATATTGGTAAATGTTCCCTTTGGGGCCCCGCCCTAGCCCCTGGAGATGGGGCAGGAATCCCAATTTTACAAAGTAATACTCTCATTCACCCAAGATGATTCTGATTAAGTTTGAGTAATTTTCTGCTGAAAATGGATAAAATATATACCGAAAAGTGTTATTTCCCTATATAAACTATATTAAACGTTACCCCCTCCCTAAAGGGGAACGGTTAGCTCGGGGGGTCCTGAAATTCACAATTTAAATAAAGCCCCTGATGATTTTCTTTCCATGCAGAGAAAATGAATGTAGTTCCTCTGAGTCGGGAAGTGAAAAATTTGGAAATATTGGTTAATTCTCCCTTTGGGGCCCAGCCCTGGCCCCAGGGGTCGGGGTAGGAATCTCAATTTTACAATTTGAAACCATCTTCCTCCAAGGATAACTCTCACCAAGTAAAAATAATTTCATACAGAAAGTTGTCACAATATACCCCAAAGTGTTATTTCCCTATATAAACTATAGTAAACTTTACCCCCTCCCCAAGGGAGAACGGATAGCCTGGGGGTCCTGAAATTTACAATTTAAGTAAAGCATCCGATGATCTTTCTTTACCACGTACAGAAAATCACTGTAGTACCTCTGAGTCTGTAGAAGAAGATTTTTGAAATATTGGTTAATTTTCCCTTTCGGGCCCCGCCCTGGCCCCAGGGGTCGGGGTAGGAATCTCAATTTTACAATTTAAAACCATCTTCCTCCAAGGATAATTCTCACCAAGTAAAAATAATTTCCTACATGAAGTTGTCTAAATATACTCAAAAGTGTTATTTCCCTATATAAACTATAGTAAACTTTACCCCCTCCCCAAGGGAGAACGGATAGCTCGGGGGTCCTGAAATTTACAATTTAAGTAAAGCATCTGATGATCTTTCTTTCCACGCAGAGAAAATGAGTGTAGTACCTCTGAGTCTGAAGAAGAAGATTTTTGAAATATTGGTTAATTTTCCCTTTGGGGCCCCGCACTGGCCCCAGGGGTCGAGGTAGGAATCTCAATTTTACAATTTAAAACTATCTACCTCCAAAGATAATTCTCACCAAGTAAAAATAATTTCCTACAGAAAGTTGTCAAAATATACCCACAAGTGTTATTTCCCCTTTATAAACTATAGTAAACTTTACCCCCTCCCCAAGGGAGTATGGATAGCTCGGGGGTCCTGAAATTTACAATTTAAGTAAAGCATCTGATGATCTTTCTTTCCACGCAGAGAAAATGAGTGTAGTACCTCTGAGTCTGAAGAAGAAGATTTTTGAAATATTGGTTAATTTTCCCTTTGGGGCCCCGCCCTGGCCCCAGGGGTCGGGGTAGGAATCCCAATTTTACAATTTTGAAGCCTCATCTACCAAGGATGATTCTGACCAAGTTTGAAAAAAATCCATCCACTGGTTCTTGAGAAGAAGTGTAAAAGTTTAGCACGACGCACGACGGACGAAAAGCGATTAGAATAGGTCACTTGAGCAAAGCTCAGGTGACCTAAAAATAGATCTCATAAAAGTTATAATTGATCAAGTAGTTTACACACACAAGAAATTAAAATAAAGTGTTGCAAGCTTTTGGCACTGGGACAAGAGTGGTGTTAGTGGTGGGTACTGGGACAAGAGTGGTGTCAGTGGTCGGTACTGGGACAAAAGTGGTGTAATTGGTGGGTACTGGGACAAGAGTGGTGCTAATGGTGGGTACTGGGACAAGAGTGGTGTTAGTGGTGGGTACTGGGACAATAGTGGTGTTAATGGTGAGTACTGAGACAAAGGTGGTGTTAGTGGTGGGAACTGGGACAAGAGTGGTGTTAGTGGTGGGTACTGGGACAATAGTGGTGTTAATGGTGAGTACTGAGACAAAGGTGGTGTTAGTGGTGGGAACTGGGACAAGAGTGGTGTTAGTGGTGGGTACTGGGACAATATTGGTGTTAATGGTGAGTACTGGGACAAGAGTGGTGTTAGTAGTGGGTACTGGCACAAGAGTGGTGTGTTAGAGGTGGGTACTGGGGAAAGAGTGGTGTTAGTGGTGGGTACTGGGACAAAATTGGTGTTAGAAGTGGGTACTGGCACAAGAGTGGTGTGTCAGTGGTGGGTACTGGGACAAGAGTGGTGTAAGTGGTGGGTACTGGGACAAGAGTGAGGTAAGTGGTGAGTACTGGGACAAGAGTGGTGTTAGTAGTGGGTACTGGGACAAGAGTGGTGTGTTAGTGGTGGGTACTGGGACAAGAGTGGTGTAAGTGGTGGGTACTGGGACAAAAGTGGTGTTAGTGGTGAGTACTGGGACAATAGTGGTGTTAGTGGTGAGTACTGGGACAAAAGTGGTGTTAGTGGTTGGTAATGGGACAAGAGTGGTGTAAGTGGTGATTGCTGGGACAAGAGTGGTGTAAGTGGTGAACTCTGGGACAAAAGTGGTGTTAGTGGTGGGTACTGGGACAAATGTGGTATTAGTGGATGGTACTGGGACAAGAGTGGTGTTGGTGGTTGGTACTGGGACAAGAGTGGTGTTAGTGGTGAGTACTGGGACAAAAGTGGTGTTAGTGGTTGGTAATGGGACAAGAGTGGTGTAAGTGGTAGGTATTTGGACAAAAGTGGTGTTAGTGGTGAGTACTGGAACAAGAGTGGTGTTAGTGGTGGGTACTCGGGAAAGAGTGGTGTTAGTTGTTGGTAATGGGACAAATGTGGTGTTAGTGGTGGGTACTGGGACAAAAGTGGAGTAAGTGGTGAGTACTGTGACAATAGTGGTTTAAGTGGTGGGTACTGGGACAAAAGTGGTGTAAGTGGTGATTGCTGGGACAAGAGTGGTGTAAGTGGTTGGTACTGGGACAATAATGGTGTAAGTGGTGGGCACTGGGGCAAAGTAGTGTTAGTGGGGGTTACTGGGACAAGAGTGGTGTTAGTGGTAGGTACTGGGACAAAAGTGGTGTTAGTGGTGAATACTGGGACAAGAGTGGTGTTAGTGGTGGGTACTGGGACAAATGTGGTGTTAGTGGTGAATACTGGGACAAGAGTGGTGTAAGTGGTAGGTACTGAGAGAAAAGTGGCGTTAGTGGTGAGTACTGGGACAAGAGTGGTGTTAGTAGTGGGTACTGGGACAAGAGTGGTGTGTTAGTGGTGGGTACTGGGACAAGAGTGTTGTTAGTGGTGGGTACAGGGACAAAAGTGGTGTAAGGGGTGGGTACTGGGACAAGAGTGGTGTTAGTGCTGAGTACTGGAACCAGAGTGGTGTTAGTGGTGAGTACTGGGACAAGAGTGGTGTTAGTGGTGGGTACTGGGACAAGAGTGGTGTTAGTGGTGAGTACTGTGACAATAGTGGTGTAAGTGGTGGGTACTGGGACAAAAGTGGTGTAAGTGGTGAGTACTGGAACAAGAGTCGTGTTAGTGGTGGGTACCCGGGAAAGAGTGGTGTTAGTGGTTGGTAATGGGACAAGAGTGGTGTTAGTGGTGGGTACTGGGACAAAAGTGGTGTTAGTGGTGAGTACTGTGACAACAGTGGTTTAAGTGGTGGGTACTGGGACAAGAGTGGTGTTAGTGGTGGGTACTGGGACAAAAGTGGTGTAAGTGGTGGGTACTGGGACAAAAGTAGTGTTAGTGTGGGTTACTGGGACAAGAGTGGTGTTGGTGGTGGGTACTGGGACAAGAGTGGTGTACGTGGTAGGTACTGGAACAAAAGTGGTGTTAGTGGTGAGTACTGGGACAATAGTGGTGTTAGTGGTGAGTACTGGGACAAAAGTGGTGTTAGTGGTTGGTAATGGGACAAGAGTGGTGTAAGTGGTGATTGCTGGGACAAGAGTGGTGTAAGTGGTGAACTCTGGGACAAAAGTGGTGTTAGTGGTGGGTACTGGGACAAATGTGGTATTAGTGGATGGTACTGGGACAAGAGTGGTGTTGGTGGTTGGTACTGGGACAAGAGTGGTGTTAGTGGTGAGTACTGGGACAAAAGTGGTGTTAGTGGTTGGTAATGGGACAAGAGTGGTGTAAGTGGTAGGTATTTGGACAAAAGTGGTGTTAGTGGTGAGTACTGGAACAAGAGTGGTGTTAGTGGTGGGTACTCGGGAAAGAGTGGTGTTAGTTGTTGGTAATGGGACAAATGTGGTGTTAGTGGTGGGTACTGGGACAAAAGTGGAGTAAGTGGTGAGTACTGTGACAATAGTGGTTTAAGTGGTGGGTACTGGGACAAAAGTGGTGTAAGTGGTGATTGCTGGGACAAGAGTGGTGTAAGTGGTTGGTACTGGGACAATAATGGTGTAAGTGGAGGGCACTGGGGCAAAGCAGTGTTAGTGGGGGTTACTGGGACAAGAGTGGTGTTAGTGGTAGGTACTGGGACAAGAGTGTTGTTAGTGGTGGGTACAGGGACAAAAGTGGTGTAAGTGGTGGGTACTGGAACAACAGTGGTGTTAGTGTTGAGTACTGGGACCAGAGTGGTGTTAGTGGTGAGTACTGGGACAATAGTGGTGTAAGTGGTGGGTACTGGGACAAAAGTAGTGTTAGTAGTGGGTACTGGGACAAGAGTGGTGTTAGTGGTAGGTACTGAGAGAAAAGTGGCGTTAGTGGTGAGTACTGGGACAATAGTCGTGTAAGTGGTGGGTACTGGGACAAAAGTAGTGATAGTGGGGGGTACTGGGACAAGAGTGGGGTTAGTGGGGAGTACTGGGACAAGAGTGGTGTTAGTGGTGGGTACTGGGACAAGAGTGGTGTTAGTGTTGAGTACTGGGATAAGAGTGGTGTTAGTGGTGAGTACTGGGACAATAGTGGTGTAAGTGGTGGGTACTGGGACAAAAGTAGTGTTAGTGGGGGGTACTGGGACAAGAGTGGTGTTAGTGGTGGGTACTGGGACAGGAGTGGTGTTAGTGGTGGGTACTGGGACAAATGTGGTGTTAGTGGATGGTACTGGGACAAGAGTGGTGGTGGTGGTGGGTACTGGGACAAGAGTGGTGTTAGTGTAGGGTACTGGAACAAGAGTGGTGTTAGTGGTGGGTACTGGGATAAGAGTGGTGTTAGTGGTGGGTACTGGGACAAAAGTGGTGTTAGTGGTGAATAATGAGTGGTGTTAGTGGTGAGTACTGGGACAAGACTGGAGTAAGTGGTGTGTACTGCAACAAGAAAGGTGTAAATGAAAGAGTTGAGTTAGTGGTGAGTACTAGTGCCACATGAGTGGAGTTAGTGGTGAGTACCCTTACTAACAACAGGAGTGGAACTAGTGGAGAGTAGTTAGTTTTACTCTACCAAATCAGCCCATTCTCTATAATAATCAATATTTAACTGATCTCTTCCTTAAGATTTAAAAATAAGTCAGACTTTGCAATGTGTTAATATAGATGAGGGGTAGCCTGATAATCTGGACATTATTTTTTGCCAAATAATGTTAAAAGTTATTTATTAGCAACAATCACATGTATCATGTGTTAGGTTACCTATAAACATTGAGCCTTCACTGTAAGTAAACACTTACCTGGAGACTATAAGGTTTGCATGCCTTTACTAAGGCGTTGATAAGTGTACTCGTGTGCTGAAAGTGAACATTTTCATCTATCAGTCCGTGTACCACCAGCAATCGATTTTCTCTGCAAGGAAACAAGAATTCATTACATCTCCAGCACACACCCAGGCATACATACATAGGGAGATATTAGCCAGGTGACATAGGACTAGTAGTTAGCACCTGATAAGGTAGCTCCTGCGAATTCCTCAAAATTGTATATGCCAATTGTATTAATTGTAAATCTATGTACTTTAAAGCACTTTAGAGTGGCTTATGTTAGCTAGATAGGGCGCTATATCAAATGTTGTATATAACAGTAACAAATGTGCAACATAATACCAAAAGCATGCATTTCATGATTTCATATAAACAAGCCTGTCTTGACAGATTCAGATTTTTACAGTCAACGACTAATTATATTGAGCAATGCTTTGTGATGTCATCTTCTATTGTGACTTTATAGTTCATGTCAACTGTTTCACCAGTTGGAAATAAAAAGTGTAATCCAAAAACGTTTATTTTTTGGGATAAAATATTTGAATGTTATTGGAGGAAAATGTCCCCAAACTTGTGATGGCTAATCATCATGTTTATTGAGCTTTTACTAGTTCATTTATCAAACTGTAATGACACTCGGTAAACCTTGTGTCTTTATAATTTGAAAATGATTTGTGTGTCTAGTTTTACAGCCAAATACAGTTATAATTGAGAAACGTGCTGCTGTCTACAAGTGAGAGTATGTGTGTATTGACTGTTTGATGTTGTATACATCTTTGTTTTCATTTGAGGCAGATTTCTGCGCGAAACTATTCCATTCTCGTATTTTCATAGAAAATAACAAAAAATGTTATGAAACCTTTACTTATTTATGTGATTTGTATTAAGGATAACGCTTGAGAGAATATATATTGTTAAGTACACACGAAATAAACTTGAGCTCTTGAATTATCAAGGTCAGTTTTATATCAAATTTGACTTTTGTAATTATTCTATAAGAAGTGTGTTAGTAACAAGTTTAATATTTAGACAAAATTGATTTTTATTTTGCCCTAATTACCTCTTTTGTGTTGATTGACTGTTAACCCTTTCACCACTGTGGACCACAATGGACTCATCCAGATAAATATATGGCAGAGTCGACTAAAGTTGCCCAGGGGTGAAAGGGTTAAGAGTCCATTACTTAACTAACTCTTAGGTAGCAGTATACAGTAGAAATGGCCCGACTCTGATAAACAAGGCACATGTCGAGGAAACGTAAACACAGCGGATTTACCCTCCACAACACATGTATACATGTATATATATTTGTAAACTGCATTACATTTACAATACATATAAAGTACTGAGAAGTGTATAAACCTCTTTTTTCTATGTATGTCACTTGTGTGAAAACCATGGTTACCACATAAAAAATTACCAAAAAATGCCAAAAATTGCTATTTTTAACCCAAAATTTGACCCTCGCAACTAGTGATTTTTTTCCTAAGCTCTGTCTGAAATTAAAGATTACCTACCTGGTTGCAGAATTAGCTGGGTCCCAGTAAAGTTGAAAAACTTGTTTTTTTGCAATTTTGCGTCGTGTGCTGTTGTCAAAATTTTACCTCCTGTAAAGCTAGCTTTTCATGTGTACGCACCCTTTCGGATTATGGCCAAAATTTTATTCTCGAACCAAAAAAATCTTCTATCTTTTTTACAAATGTGAAGCTCACATAGCCTACTTCATCATGCTTATACCAATTTTAGTACAGTTTTATTTTTATATTTTTTTTACATATCATTATACAGGGGTTAGCATTTAACAAAAATATCACCCATGGCCACAACCCTCTACTGTATACTGCTACCTTATTCAACACATTCAGGAGAGTACAAGATCTGCCTCATACAAATGTATCTTACCCAATTACCCTGTGAGTGTTTATGTCAGTGTGTATGTGTGTGCTGGAGGTTGTGATGGTGTTCTGCTTGTTATGGGTCTGTATTTTCCAGTGTCTCGTTTGTGTTACCACTTGAATACTACAACAAAGAAACTGTAATTCCCAACCAAAAACATATTGTACTCCACTCTGTGCAAGTGAAAATGGTAAAATGTCCTACTGAAACACAACCATACCTGTACACATGTGGATATCAAACCTTCAATCTTGTAGTCGAAAGACTAATGCGCACCCATATGAGCAATGTGGCCCCTAATTTCTGATATAACATGGATTTTTTATTGCATTCTGTTGAGGGCCTAATGATTCCTTTTGTTGATAATGTTTGAAACCAAAGCAGATGTACCACTTAATCATGAAATTACATTATATTTAACAGAGGACAATATTAATTACCTCAATAATATTTATCAGTTTGGTAATATGTAATATTGAAGTGTTACTTTATACACAAACAATGTACGTATAAAACGCAATGTTTCACAATCAACTGGTCCATTTGTCCAGCTTGACATATAGGGACCAGTCGGCCTTGACATATAGGGACCAGTCGGCCTTGACATATAGGGACCAGTCAGCCTTGACACGTAGGGATCAGTCAGCCTTGACATATAGGGTCCAGTCAGCCTTGACATATATAGGGACCAGTCAGCGTTGACATGTAGGGACCAGTCAGCCTTGACATATAGGGACCAGTCAGCCTTGACATATAGGGACCAGTCAGCCTTGACATATAGGGACCAGTCAGCCTTGACATATAGGGACCAGTCAGCCTTGAAACGTTGGATACATTGGATACCTTCATTGTTTGTGTATAAAGTAAAACTTTGATATTATAATAATAATGACTTTAGAACAAAAATATGAGTATGTAAATACCAGATATAAATTATCAGTGACCACACATCTTTTGTTTCAGAGTATACAAGTGTACAAGCTTCAAATACTAAGGCCGTTTTCATTTAAACGGTCAAACCGGTCGGACCACTGTTGTTCGTTTATTAAATAAGGTCGGACCTAGTAATCTGATGCTACTTTCAGGCGAGCCTTGACAAAGCCTTGACAAAGCCTTGCAAGGCCTGCATAAACATTTGCAGGTCTGCCAGGATTTACATCCGCAATTGTTACATTTATAAACAGTCAAACCGGTTGTTTCACCCCTAAGTTACAGTTTTTGGCAGTGGTGCCGGAATCCTTAAAGCAGAAAATCGACTTAAATAGCATATTTTCAGAATAGCCTGTAAGACAGAGAATTAACGTCATTGTAAAACAGTAAACCATAACTTACTCGTCTGGGAAGTTTGGTATGTAGTGCAGCACTGCCCCTTTCTGGTAGCCAGTCACATTGTTCTTTGGGATGTCTAAGTATCTCTCTGTGTATCCTGTGTCGTACAATTTCCAGTCAACTACCGGGGCTCCCGCTATAGCAACCTGCCACAGAGATTCTGATTTATGTCGAGAATCTTTATCATAAAATTTAAAGCTATATTTACATTTACTCTGCATCCTTTCATTGCAAAGTATTGCGAAGACAAATGTTGTTATTAGACTATAATAACATTTGCTAATGTAATGTTTGATATTGACGTATTTCTTTAATCCTTTACATATTTTAAGCTATTAAGTTTTGGTTTGATGTGTTTATTTTCGTGAATGTCTTTTTTTACAGGGCTGTTAAACAATACAAATACAAATATTGTGACGTCATCAATTTCATTGTTGTCAACACTTGATTTGCTGTTCCAAAACTATTAGAAATAACTAAATAAAGCATAACTACTCACTCATCAAAATGTAACTATAAACAATGAATATTTTAGCAAATATTGTAATGGTCCTATAACTTACATTGCTATTGCTGACAAACTCAATAAACCTCAGGGCTTTATGTAAGTTTATCATCAATAGCAATGTGTGTTATAGGACCATGACAACATTTGCTATAACATTCATTGCTTAAACACCTTTTTTTAGCTATCAATGTTTTCTTTTGTATTCTTTATCTGATTTGTAAACAAGGTGTTCTAGTTTTGTTTGACCTTTACTATCTAATGCATCTAATAAACAAGAGGCCCAATGGGCCTGCATCGCTCACCTGTTATTAATCTACCACTTGTAATCTTAAGATTTCATAAGAACCTATCAAAAGATTTAAACATATGACGCCTCTGACCTTGATTGTCGAACAAGGACATTAGGTTGAAAGTGGATCAAGGGCATTCATTTGAACTAACATGGTAACCCTTCATCCCAGCATGCTACAGGCACAATTTCAGTACCCTGGCCCTTTTGGTTATTGAGAAGAAGTCGTTTGAAGATTTTATGACATTTGACCCCTTTGACCTTTGAAAGTTGGTCAAGGTCATTCAGTTGAACAAACTTGATAGTCTTCATCCCAGCATGCTACAGGCCCAATATCAGTACCCTGGGCCTTTTGGTTATTGAGAAGAAGTTGTTTGTAGATTTTAAGACATCTGACCCCAGTGACCTTGAAAGTGGGTCAATGTCATTCATTTAAACAAACTTGGTAGCCCTTCATCCCAGCATTCTACAGGCCCAATATCAGTACCCTGGGCCTTTTGGTTATTGAGAAGAAGACGTTTGAAGATTTTATGACATTTGACCCCTTTGACCTTTGAAAGTTGGTCAAGGTCATTCAGTTGAACAAACTTGATAGTCTTCATCCCAGCATGCTACAGGCACAATTTCAGTACCCTGGCCCTTTTGGTTATTGAGAAGAAGTCGTTTGAAGATTTTATGACATTTGACCCCTGTGACCTTGAAAATAGGTGAAGGTGCTTTATTTGAACAAAGTTTGTAGCCCTTCATCCAAGTTTGCGTCTGGCCAAATATTGACACCCTAGGTCTTTCGGTTATTAAGAAGAAGTCGTTTAAAGGAAAATATTTACGCCGGACGACGGACAGACGACGGACGGACGGCCGACGGACGCCGCGCCACGGCATAAACTCACTTGGCACTTCGTGCCAGGTGAGCTTTTGGTTATTGAGAAGAAGTCGTTTGAAGATTTTATGACATTTGACCCCTTTGACCTTTGAAAGTTGGTCAAGGTCATTCATTTGAACTAACATGGTAATCCTTCATCCCAGCACGCTACAGGCCCAATTTCAGTACCCTGGCCCTTTTGCTTATTGAAAAGAAGTCGCTTGAAGATTTTCCGACATTTGACCCCTGTGACCTTGAAAATAGGTGGAGGTGATTTATTTGAACAAAGTTTGTAGCCCTTCATCCAAGTTTGCGTCTGGCCAAATATTGACACCCTAGGTCTTTCGGTTATTAAGAAGAAGTCGTTTAAAGTAAAATATTGCCGCCGGACGACGGACAGACGACGGACGGACGGACGACGGGCGCCGCGCCACGGCATAAACTCACTTGGCACTTCGTGCCAGGTGAGCTTTTGGTTATTGAGAAGAAGTCGTTTGAAGATTTTATGACATTTGACCCCTGTGACCTTGAAAATAGGTGGAGGTGATTTATTTGAACAAAGTTTGAAGCCCTTCATCCAAGTTTGCTTCTGGCCAAATATTGACACCCTAGGCCTTTCGGTTTTTAAGAAGAAGTCGTTTAAAGTAAAATATTGCCGCCGGACGACGGACAGACGACGGACGGACGGCCGACGGACGCCGCGCCACGGCATAAACTCACTTGGCACTTCGTGCCAGGTGAGCTTTTGGTTATTGAGAAGAAGTCGTTTGAAGATTTTATGACATTTGACCCCTGTGACCTTGAAAGTTGGTCAAGGGCATTCAGTTGAACAAACTTGATAGTCTTCATCCCAGCATGCTACAGGCCCAATATCAGTACCCTGGGCCTTTTGGTTATTGAGAAGAAGTCGTTTGAAGATTTTATGACATTTGACCCCTGTGACCTTGAAAATAGGTGAAGGTGATTTATTTGAACAAAGTTTGTAGCCCTTCATCCAAGTTTGCTTCTGGCCAAATATTGACACCCTAGGCCTTTCGGTTATTAAGAAGAAGTCGTTTAAAGTAAAATATTGACGCCGGACGACGGACAGACGACGGACGGACGGACGACGGACGCCGCGCCACGGCATAAACTCACTTGGCACTTCGTGCCAGGTGAGCTAATAATAATAGGAAGAAAATGAAGTATGACTGGGTAGATTTTCATTTGCTCAATTTTGAAAAACACCAATAGGAAAATAGAAGTGATACTAATTAAGGGAGTTACCTTGAATACATCTGGCCGCTGTGCTAACCCCAGGAGGGATAGATATCCACCTAAAACATATTGTCACACGGAATGAAAACCAACAATTCACATGTAGTTGATATACATACATGTAACTTGTTAGTGTTTACAGATGAAAATTGTTCAGCAGATCACAGGTATATATTTACAGATGAAAATTGTTCAGGAGATTATATACTGTAAAACTTGTGTGTGTGTTTGCAGATAAAAACTGTTCAGTAGACTATTGATAATCTATAAACATTTGTTTGTTTGCAGATGAAATTATTCAGTAGATCATATACATGTATAAATCTGAATGATTCTTCTGTATGTTACCATATGAAAATTGTTTTGGCAGATTATTTATCAATCTGCAGAATCATATATCCAGAAATATATATTAGTATGTTTACTGCAAAATGTTTAGCCTCCAACTAAACAATTTAGAAGTGCGATATCAAAGTTTTACTTTCTACACAAACAATGTACGTATTAAACGTGTTGCAACGTTTCAAACCCGACTGGTTCCTTTGTTAGGCTATGACTGAGTGTCTTAAAACGTTGCGACACGTTTAATACATACATTGTTTGTGTAGAAAGTTAAACTTTGATATCAAATATTTCCAAACTGATGAATCTTATTTAAAAAAAATACAGGTTCCATTACTGAATCGTGTTACATGTTAGAAGAATTCCTGTTCACGTACCGTAGGACCAGCCATGAATGGCTACGCGGTCCATGTCTATAAAGTCGACCTGTGAGGCGAGCCACTGTAGTCCCTCTACCTGGTCCTCAATCTCCACCGTACCCTTGGTAACATAAACAGTAGCCTTGGTAACATAAACAGTAACCTTGGTAACATTAACAGTAACCTTGGTAACATAAACAGTAACCTTGGTAACATAAACAGTAGCCTTGGTAACATAAACAGTAACCTTGGTAACATAAACAGTAACCTTGGTAACATAAACAGTAACATTGGTAACAGAAACAGAAACATTGGTAACATAAACAGTAACCTTAGTTAAATAAACAGTAACCTTAGTAACATAAACAGTAGCATTGGTAACATAAACAGTAACCTTGGTAACATAAACAGAAACATTGGTAACATAAACAGTAACCTTATTAACATAAACAGTAACCTTGGTAACATAAACAGAAACATTGGTAACATAAACAGTAACATTGCTAACATAAACAGTAACGTTGCTTGTCTTGATTTACTATTTTGCTATTTTAATTCAATTACAGTTTTAATTTGGTTAAGGAAATGAAGAATGAGAGGATGACTGACAAAATTTAAGTAGATATAAATAATTCTAGATATTTGAATACTGTATACCGGGAAACTTTCACTGCAGTTTAATATTCTTCTTTTTTACCCACCACAATGAGGGCATCCTTGATATCCAGGGGTTATGCTCACTTTCGCTCTCTGCACCCCTAGACTATGTCTTAGCAAAATTGAAGGCATACAGCTAGCTATTTGATAGGTGTCGGGTAAAAAAACCTGACCAATATCTAGGCTGATACTTGTTCTTTGAAAATTACAGAGGAGCGACGCCTAACTTCAAAGCCTTTAATTTTTTACTGTTACACGACCAAAAGATTCTTTTGATGTACATCAAAGGATCAAACTACCTGTTAGTTTTTTCGTCTCATGCACAATGTGCTGCATACTGAGCCTTCAATTTTGCTATGACATATTCCAGGGGTCCAGAGAATGAAAGTGATCATAACCCCTGGTTATTGAGGATGCAATGAGGGCGAATTTTCCAAACCAGCAAATAATATTCAACAATATAATGAACAAAGGCATCACATTTACATGTGAGGTGAGAAATTAACATTAGGCGAATAGGGAGTTTATCGGCGTAGAGCGAAAGTTTCACTGGGAGAAAGTTTTCACAGTTTACAGTAACTCCTATACGTTTATTTACCCGGCCAGAACTCTGCTAAATGGCGTACGCTGAAAGTGGTCATCGAACTTGGCCAAGCCTTTAAGGCATTTAACCCTGTGACCATGTTTGAAGAAAATTGGTTAACATTTGTTGTAGTTGTCGCATGGAAATGAAACGAGGCAGATAGTGACGTTTTTCGTTATTCAAACAGCCAGAACAAAGTGGTCATCAAACTTGGCCGAGCCCTTAAGGCACTTAACCCTGTGAACAAGTTTGAAGAAAATCGATAAATATTTATTGCAGTTATGGTAACAGAAACGAAGCGTGAAAGCAGACAGACAGACAAACAGACAGACAGACAGACAGACAGACAGATGGACAGACCCAAATTAATATCCTCCGTTTCGGTGAAAGTGGGGGATAATAACGAGAAACAAGATCAACTCATCTTCACCGTTCAAGATTTTGTTTCACAAGATTGAAACATTCTTACCAATCTTTTCTTTATATGGGCCTCAAAGTCCAGACCTCGATGACTGGAGCCCCGACCATCAATCACGACCACAGCGTAACCCTGTGAGGCCAGTGTGTGATGTCTTAGGAACCTGTGTAAACAGATACAATTATCATTCAAAAGTTTTGCAATTTTACTTTACAACCAATCTCGTTTTATTTGTTCCAAACCAGAATTTAAATATATATATATTTTAATTAATCTGAACATGTAGTTTACCTATCAAAATTAGATTCTTTAAAAAAAGCATGCAATCATATATCTTTCTTTTATTAAATCAAACATTATTTTATAACTTTTTATCAAACATTTTGCATATCAAGCACTTTCTATGCTTAGGTGGAGGTATGTTGGAGGTCTTAAATGTGGGGTAAAAAAGGAAAACTATAAAAAAAACAATGTACTCTCTCAGGTGAAACCTGCCTTTTCCGGTATGACCAGGGAATTAAACCCCAAGTGTCTCCAATTATAATTTATTTTGTTTTGTTCTGCTGTAGAGGTTCAACTGAATTTTTAAAAATTCTAACTTAACATTTTATTATGACTCATCTTTTTGTCGCCTTCAGGCATTGACTTTAAGTTTTGTGGACACCAGATAAATATGTTTTATTACTATGATATATGATACAATGAACCTATTACACCAAGTGTTTAGCATTATAAGCACTTCTTGGACACCAAGGTTGCATTCGTTTATGGCAATCTAAACACGATGGAATCTGTTGAACCAGAGTTGTTCGTTTAAAAATTAGGTTGAACCTTGTAATCTGAATGCTGCTTTCAGACGAGCCTTGACAAAGCCTTGCACAAGGCCTGCATATACATGTACACTTGCAGGACCACCAGGATTTAATATCGAAAATGTTACATTTAAAAGCAGACAAACCGGTTGAACGGGATACACGAGACAGGCCCCTGCAATCTTGTTGGACATCGTCTTTGATGTCAAACGTACCTGAGACCCTTGAATGAGTTGGTGACCTGCTGGACCTGTGGGCCTCCGTATACCATCAGTACCGTCGGGTACTTCACACCGGGCTGGAAGTCGTGAGGTTTATAGTATAGGCCATGCATCGTCCGTCCACAAACACTAGTGTAGCTGAACAGGTCTGGGGGGTGATACTCGGGGCAGGCTGAAAAATAATAAAGACTGACTGCCTGATCAACTTGTACTGAACTTTTTCTTTTAGCAACCATAACAATTTTAATTATTTTTTTGTTATCCCTCAGCGCCAATAGGGGTCTGCCAGAGTTGAGGAGCTCTGGGTACAACCTCCTTACTTATCGTAAGAGGGCTTTCAATAACTTAATTTAGTTTTTGATTTAAGCATTTTATTCTATCAATCAGTGTTAGCACTGTATTCATCATACAAATGTAACAAGAGATAACTTATTTCTGGAAGTCATATATTTTTTCTGCTTAATTAAGCTTCATACAGAATTTAAGTTAATATAATTATTATTATTACATTCTTAACGGCCCATCAACACAGGATAGGTCATTAGGGCCGACGAATGGTCAACAAAAACAAATGCAAAAAAAAACAACATCAAACAAACTTAAAGGTAAAAGACAACATCAACTTGAATATTTGGAAATGGCCATGGAGACTCGTTGTTTATTAAAAAGACCAACAGCTTTCAGAATGTTTAAAATTGTAGAGATACTTATTATTTTGAAAAGAGATTTAATACGTGTAATATCATTTTAGAAAATATTTTCCAGTTGGTTGACACAATCTTATAACAAGTGTTTTACTGTAAATGGTTCCTGACACGCTATGCATTGAGGCTGGTCTTCACATTACAATAAATAGCAATGGGTAATGTATGATTGACCTATCCGGAGACCGGCAAGGACAACCTCGTCTTGGCGCCTCTCTCTGTAGCTAGGATGTCATACACAATTCCAGGTTAATTAGAGTGTAATTTTTTGCCAACACATTGATTCCAATCACTTTGCCACTGTGATCTTTTTTATAAGTGGTTCAAGAAAGATCTTTCCAGTACTTCTTGAGAAACAGCGATAACAAAAATTAGTAAATGATGGACAACAGACCACATGGAATGCAATTTGAACAGCCCTCCATCTGGTGATGCTGGGTTAAAAAATTAACCAAGTTTCTATCTATTAGGGCTGCCATGTTATATTGTGTGATGATATATATAGTGATACATGTATTTTGAATACAGTACAATACATAATTTTGTTATTGGGAGGTCACAATACACCTATAATATTTTCCAGATTTTGTATTTTCTGAATTTTGTCTACTCATATCCGTTGCCACATTGCCAGTGACAACTCTAGCTCGGCATGCACGCCGAAAGACGTGAATTGTATGAAACTTTAAAGTCATACCCATTTTAGACCAAGATTATTTCCAGGTGTAATGTTGTCATTATAATTTGCAACATAACTTTTCTCTTTGCTTCTATAAAGTATCGCTGCAGCTCTGCTCTGTACATTTGAGTCAAAACAAAAATAATTAAAACATAGGTTTAATTGCTACAACCTTAAAAGTCAGCAAAGGTTGTTTATCAGAAGGTATTGTTCCGGCACTGCTGGAAACCCATTTTCAAACAATTTTTTACAAGAGACCACTTACCTACAGAAGGCATGACTATTCCCAAAGTCTCTGTGTACATCTGGCCGTTGTCACGGTGACAGACGCGGTGGACACTACTGACGGGTGTCTGTTGTACAGAGCTGTAGACCGTCACAAATAAAGACAACTCCTGAAATGGAGGTAGATATAAATAATGATACGAAATATGCTACAAAATGGGGTTATTAAGGTTCAAATTAGATTTTATTTCCCCAGTATCTATGTAGGAGGAATGCCAGGGTGGGGGTCCCCCCGGTTAATCCCTCTGACATCATGTAGCCTTACGCAGGAGGTCTATTTCCCTTCATTCAGTCTGCTCCTTCGTTTCCTCCCTCAGGTTAATCAACCAATCATTTAACCTTTCTTTCTCATTCATTCCAATAACATTTCAAATTTTCATTCAATCAAATTTATATATTATGGACTTTCCACCCTTCGTAATACACATGTTTTTCTGGTCGTAATTTTGTGTCGTCGTTTCCGTATTGCGTATCGGACTTTAAATGCTCTAGTGTAAATGATAGTGACACCGGGTAAACAAAAGTGCACATGCGTGACGATGATATTTCAACAACCGAGACTACACTTGAAAATGCGTAATCACACGTACTTCAGAAATAAAGCTTCCGTTACAAACACATAAATTGACTCACGGGGAGACACTGACATGAGACCAGATGACTTCAAGGAGGTCACATGTGAAGCGCATGGAATGTAGACTGATGTGTACCGACCTCACATGTACCTATCATGTGTTTACACTTTTTCAGGTTATAACATACATTATACCTAAATATTTTTGTCAGGACACAAAAAGTGACGATATCATAAACCACAATGGTTGGAGCGGTATTTGAAATTCTAACATCTGATTGGCTGAAAAGTTGCTTTACGATGAATTACTGCACAATGTTGTGTTTTGTGTAAAATTATTCTGTTTTTATCAGAAAAATGAATAATATTCAATAACTGTGAATTAAAAAATGTCTGACCGTTTGAATTAAATAATGAAGGATAACCTGATGTTTTGTTGGGTGTATATGGTATATACAGAAGAAAACTGTATTTGGTACATAAACCATTGTGCCAAACAGTCCAAACAGTTTCTTCGCAATCGGTATAGACCATACAACCCCAACATTGCATTGATCACTACTTCTCTTTCTTCAAAGTTTTATTTTATATTTAGTTATGAGCGAATTCATTTGCGAATTATTTCGTATCACACACTAATAAGACACTAATAAATCAAAATTATTTCCAACTAAAATATTCACTAACAGATCTAACACAAACACATGATATACTTACAGAGATCAACTAAAATATTCACTAACAGATCTAACACAAACACATGATATACTTACAGAGATCAACTAAAATATTCACTAACAGATCTAACACAAACACATGATATACTTACAGAGATCAACTAAAATATTCACTAACAGATCTAACACAAACACATGATATACTTACAGAGATCAACTAAAATATTCACTAACAGATCTAACACAAACACATGATATACTTACAGAGATCAACTAAAATATTCACTAACAGATCTAACACAAACACATGATATACTTACAGAGATCAACTAAAATATTCACTAACAGATCTAACACAAACACATGATATACTTACAGAGATCAACTAAAATATTCACTAACAGATCTAACACAAACACATGATATACTTACAGAGATCAACTAAAATATTCACTAACAGATCTAACACAAACACATGATATACTTACAGAGATCAACTAAAATATTCACTAACAGATCTAACACAAACACATGATATACTTACAGAGATCAACTAAAATATTCACTAACAGATCTAACACAAACACATGATATACTTACAGAGATCAACTAAAATATTCACTAACAGATCTAACACAAACACATGATATACTTACAGAGATCAACTAAAATATTCACTAACAGATCTAACACAAACACATGATATACTTACAGAGATCAACTAAAATATTCACTAACAGATCTAACACAAACACATGATATACTTACAGAGATCAACTAAAATATTCACTAACAGATCTAACACAAACACATGATATACTTACAGAGATCAACTAAAATATTCACTAACAGATCTAACACAAACACATGATATACTTACAGAGATCAACTAAAATATTCACTAACAGATCTAACACAAACACATGATATACTTACAGAGATCAACTAAAATATTCACTAACAGATCTAACACAAACACATGATATACTTACAGAGATCAACTAAAATATTCACTAACAGATCTAACACAAACACATGATATACTTACAGAGATCAACTAAAATATTCACTAACAGATCTAACACAAACACATGATATACTTACAGAGATCAACTAAAATATTCACTAACAGATCTAACACAAACACATGATATACTTACAGAGATCAACTAAAATATTCACTAACAGATCTAACACAAACACATGATATACTTACAGAGATCAACTAAAATATTCACTAACAGATCTAACACAAACACATGATATACTTACAGAGATCAACTAAAATATTCACTAACAGATCTAACACAAACACATGATATACTTACAGAGATCAACTAAAATATTCACTAACAGATCTAACACAAACACATGATATACTTACAGAGATCAACTAAAATATTCACTAACAGATCTAACACAAACACATGATATACTTACAGAGATCAACTAAAATATTCACTAACAGATCTAACACAAACACATGATATACTTACAGAGATCAACTAAAATATTCACTAACAGATCTAACACAAACACATGATATACTTACAGAGATCAACTAAAATATTCACTAACAGATCTAACACAAACACATGATATACTTACAGAGATCAACTAAAATATTCACTAACAGATCTAACACAAACACATGATATACTTACAGAGATCAACTAAAATATTCACTAACAGATCTAACACAAACACATGATATACTTACAGAGATCAACTAAAATATTCACTAACAGATCTAACACAAACACATGATATACTTACAGAGATCAACTAAAATATTCACTAACAGATCTAACACAAACACATGATATACTTACAGAGATCAACTAAAATATTCACTAACAGATCTAACACAAACACATGATATACTTACAGAGATCAACTAAAATATTCACTAACAGATCTAACACAAACACATGATATACTTACAGAGATCAACTAAAATATTCACTAACAGATCTAACACAAACACATGATATACTTACAGAGATCAACTAAAATATTCACTAACAGATCTAACACAAACACATGGTATACTTACAGAGATCAACTAAACTATTCACTAACAGATCTAACACAAACACATGGTATACTTACAGAGATCAACTAAAATATTCACTAACAGATCTAACACAAACACATGGTATACTTACAGAGATCAACTAAAATATTCACTAACAGATCTAACACAAACACATGGTATACTTACAGAGATCAACTAAAATATTCACTAACAGATCTAACACAAACACATGGTATACTTACAGAGATCAACTAAAATATTCACTAACAGATCTAACACAAACACATGGTATACTTACAGAGATCAACTAAAATATTCACTAACAGATCTAACACAAACACATGGTATACTTACAGAGATCAACTAAAATATTCACTAACAGATCTAACACAAACACATGGTATACTTACAGAGATCAACTAAAATATTCACTAACAGATCTAACACAAACACATGGTATACTTACAGAGATCAACTAAAATATTCACTAACAGATCTAACACAAACACATGGTATACTTACAGAGATCAACTAAAATATTCACTAACAGATCTAACACAAACACATGGTATACTTACAGAGATCAACTAAAATATTCACTAACAGATCTAACACAAACACATGGTATACTTACAGAGATCAACTAAAATATTCACTAACAGATCTAACACAAACACATGGTATACTTACAGAGATCAACTAAAATATTCACTAACAGATCTAACACAAACACATGGTATACTTACAGAGATCAACTAAAATATTCACTAACAGATCTAACACAAACACATGGTATACTTACAGAGATCAACTAAAATATTCACTAACAGATCTAACACAAACACATGGTATACTTACAGAGATCAACTAAAATATTCACTAACAGATCTAACACAAACACATGGTATACTTACAGAGATCAACTAAAATATTCACTAACAGATCTAACACAAACACATGGTATACTTACAGAGATCAACTAAAATATTCACTAACAGATCTAACACAAACACATGGTATACTTACAGAGATCAACTAAAATATTCACTAACAGATCTAACACAAACACATGGTATACTTACAGAGATCAACTAAAATATTCACTAACAGATCTAACACAAACACATGGTATACTTACAGAGATCAACTAAAATATTCACTAACAGATCTAACACAAACACATGGTATACTTACAGAGATCAACTAAAATATTCACTAACAGATCTAACACAAACACATGGTATACTTACAGAGATCAACTAAAATATTCACTAACAGATCTAACACAAACACATGGTATACTTACAGAGATCAACTAAAATATTCACTAACAGATCTAACACAAACACATGGTATACTTACAGAGATCAACTAAAATATTCACTAACAGATCTAACACAAACACATGGTATACTTACAGAGATCAACTAAAATATTCACTAACAGATCTAACACAAACACATGGTATACTTACAGAGATCAACTAAAATATTCACTAACAGATCTAACACAAACACATGGTATACTTACAGAGATCAACTAAACTATTCACTAACAGATCTAACACAAACACATGGTATACTTACAGAGATCAACTAAACTATACACTAACAGATCTAACACAAACACATGGTATACTTACAGAGATCAACTAAATCATACACTAACAGATCTAACACAAACACATGGTATACTTACAGAGATCAACTAAACTATACACTAACAGATCTAACACAAACACATGGTATACTTACAGAGCTAAATGAGACACTGTGGGAGTAACCAAGCTCTGTCAATCTGTACGGCTCTTTGGGTGACAAATACGACACAGCATATCTGAAAATATTCATATTGTGTTGTGTAAGGTTATTTTGAACTTTAAAGATTAAAACTTTGATTGCCAATTAAATATAAAATTATATACTGGGATTGGGAAAACCAACGTCTGTGAAAACAGTTCAGTGAAGTAACCCCTGCAGTATCGAGGATGAAGTGAGCGTGACCCTTGGTGTATGAAGGATGAAGTGAGCGTAACCCCAGGAGTATCGAGGATGAAGTGAGCGTAACTCTTGTAGCCCCTGTAGTATCGAGGATGAAGTGAGCGTAGCCCCTGTAGCATTGAGGATGAAGTGAGCGTAGCCCCTGTAGTATCGAGGATTTAGTGAGCGTAGCCCCTGTAGTATTGAGGATGAAGTGAACGTAACCCTTGTAGCCCCTGTAGTATCGAGGATGAAGTGAGCGTGACCCTTGGTGTATGAAGGATGAAGTGAGCGTAACCCCTGGAGTATCGAGGATGAAGTGAGCGTGACCCTTGGAGTATTGAGGATGAAGTGAGCGTAACCCCTGGAGAGTTGAGGATGCATGACAAGATATTGGCCTTAGAGAATTGGAACTACTTACAAATGAGTTTCTAACACAGAATGTCTATGGCCGAGAAAGTACACAAGGTTTCTCTTCTCATCAACCCAGATCTGAAAAGGCAATTCAAAGGTTTCATAAAATTAATGTATTAAAATACAAATTTGTGTATATTTCAATATGGGGCATATTGAAAATCCCCTTGCTGTAAAACAACGGATGACTGTTAATGTACCAGAGTGCGATACTTATACCGGTCCTACTGAGTATTTTACTAAGTGATGAGTGAAAAGATATTTTATCCTTAAAACAAGAGGCCCAGAGGGCCTGTATCGCTCACCTGGATACCTAAGCAATCATGGCAAACTATTCTCAAAATGAGATCAAGGGAATATGCCAGACCCCAAGGCCAATCCTTGTAGCATAGCTATATTACATTTTTCATGCCCAGCAATTTTATGTATGGTTATGGGGTGGGGATCTCAACTGTTTCCAAGCTTTGACTCAGAAACTAGGTCCCTAGAGTTGTGGCCAGACCCCAGGATCGATTCTAATATTGTGACTGCATTTGTCTCTTTTTGCCAAGCATTTGTATATATAGTTTTGGGGTGGGGATCTCAACCGTTTCAAAGTTATGACCCAGGGGCCAAGTCTGCAAGGGTGGGGCAGACCCTGGGA